GTGGTTAATTGGCGGGGGCTCTGCTGTGGTTTGCTCCTTCTTTACTATCAAACATCTATCGTCCTTATTACTCCTCCTTCTTTTTGTGTTTGTTACTCTCTTGTAACACCTCTAATCTTCGGCACTTATATGAGTTTATTGTGCTGCAAGTGCCGCAAAACACTAACTAAAAACTATCTCGTTTGTTCCCTGTTCGTTTATTTCGTCTATTCCCCGTTTACCAAGTTCATCCCGTTTGTATATCCCATTTAGTGGTTAGGCTACCGGACTCGTAATTGTGAGGTTACGGTTTCGGAAGTTCGAGCCGCTGGCCCGACGTTGTGTCCTTGGGAAAGGCACTTTACATTATTGTATTTTCCTCTCTTCACCTAGGTGGAACTGGGCGCCCGGCCAATGGCCATAGACAGCGAAAGATCTTGTCAGTCTGTTAGTCTTAGCACCTATAAATGGCTGCTTGCACTGTATGCTTCAGAGGAAGTTGAGGTTGTTTCAGAATGCTCCCAGGCCTGCTGGGGTAATAGTGTAGATTGTGAAGCGCATAGAGCTTGCTGTTGAGCGGGGGTCTGCGCTATACAAATGCTATCTATCTGTCTGTCTGTCTGTCTGTCTGTCTGTCTGTCTGTCTGTCTATTATTATTATTATTATTATTATTATTATTATTATTATTATTATTATTATTATTATTATCATTATTCTGTTTATCCCATTTATACCAGCAGAAAAACTACTACGACAACTTCGAACACCTGGCCGAGATGAGGCAACAGATCTACTCCAGGCTGGTAGGTACACTGTATTTGAAGCACGGCCATCCAATCCTTGTTGTTTGTTTTTTAGTTTTAGTCAGTGACGGTGGGTAGTGAAGGGCTTACGGGCTTGAGCCCCATCCCCTCCCCAACTCTATCCCTTAGTTAATGAAAATTTCTTAAATAACGAAATAAGCAGTTGAAACCGTTATGATCACGCGCAACGAGCACAAAGTTATCAACCTGGCAGCTTGCCCGTTTATCCAATCATTGTTGTCACCGCTTACAACTATAGTAACCTAACAGCCAATCAAATGTCGTTAGGGCTCAGAAAGAATAAGCCGGTTCTCACGCCCGTCTTTAATGAAACTCTCCTTGTAAAGAGGTAGAAGACTTTTTAAAAATAACACTGCACAGAGGGCTCACGCTCTCCCAGCCCTGACAATGGAGTGAAAGTTTACGACACACTTTCCCCCAGTGACACAGATACCTAAGCGCCCATTGGGTCTTTGTTAGGCGCGTTCTATTTTCCGCATCAACACGACCCAATCCACCTCATAGACGATATGTGTTTGGAGTGCTGTGTGTTTGTGCCACTGAGATTTAACAGTTATTAATTACATCCAGCCACTTTTGAGGCAACTTTTTCTTCAGATAAAAACTAATTAGAGAAATTTGGAGGTGAAACGGCTTCGTCCCCACCATCCGGAAGAACTTAAATTTGACTAAGAACAAAGATATGGAAGACAAAGGTGACTCTTCTCGTTTGAATTGTTCTCAAAATGCCGTGGCTTGCCGTGCGTGAGTATAGAAAAATCATCACTGTTTTGTTCTTATTGCTTGCTTTTTGGTGGTAAAGAAGTGGAAGAAACCTAAGCCCCACCCAAATCTTAGTCCACCCACCGCCACTGGTTTTAGTAAGGTTTTACGGCGCTCTCAACTGCATAAGTTAAAGTGAGCGCCAAGTGGTGGATGTCAAACGCAGCAGTCCAAACGGGGAATCAGGCTTACTCTGCTCAAATCTCTAACCTCAACAGCACAAAGTCTGCTTTGACTATCAAGGCACCCCGAAAATAGCAGTTCACGAGAGAGTGACAAACATGCAAAAGAAGTAGAGGAAATATGACGATAGTAAGGAAGAGGAAAGAAAAAGCAGCTGTTCCCTCTATGTTGTTCCAGCACAGTGCGAGCATGCTATTGATAAATCAGCCCATTTACAATTCTACTGTGCATAAGAACATGCTAAAATCCCCCCCCTTTTTTGGGGGGGGG